GTAAAAGGAATTTTAGGGCTAAAATTTGGAATTTTATAACTAAATTATGGCCCCAAAAGACCATGATTTGGGCTCAACTTTGCATATTTGATACAAAAGTAAGTAACTCACAAATAATGCTCTAGTTCAGTTATAACAAAAGTGTCTACCAGTGTTCCATAGTCAACCGTGAATAAATAGAGTCACTGGTCAACTGCCTTTAACTGCCTACTATGAATAAGAGCTGAAAAACTTAACTACATTAAAACATAACTAGAATGAAAACATTTTTAAAGTTATGAGTATCCCAGAACAACCAATATTCAATTAGTTCAGCTGTTATTTGCCAATAGTAAATGGAAAGAGAAATTATGCTTTAAATTTATTCTAGAGCGATAAATGCATAAAAAATTTATCAACAATTATTCATTTTAAGTTTGGTACAGTTTGAACAAGTCTCGATCTTTCTTAAAAAACAATAAAAACGATATGACCCACTCTCAGGTCATTCCCATGAATATTCTAATCTAAATTCAAACAGCAGGGTTACAGTCTCCACTAAAGAATTTGTTAAAAATAAATCAGGGCTATTAAAAATTGTATAAATTTAAATTTCACAACAGAGTCAATCTATGCAATGATTTTTAATAGTTTTTTTCCAGATTTAATAAAAACATACACCTAATGTTATTACATATTTACAGTACATTGCATTGGTATGGCTAGTGTTAATGTGTACAAAAAGGGCAGCTGAAGGTGTCTTTTCTTAGTACGCTGAATTGGGGTGCAAAATGGTAAAGCATCCAATCATTAAAGCCAGTTTACCTTACCCACTTTATAATATTACCAAATATGAAAACTTGTCTAGATCTGCCAGCTGGTATCACTTACAAAAGATCTATTCTATAGTCATAACTTGACAATAACTTGATTACAAATTAAGATTTTATTAAAAAGGTCCCCTACATAAAGTCTGATGAAATTTTGTGGTACATCATAAATAGTTGCTTTAAATACACCTAAGACTGAGGTAAATGGTTTAACAACTGTAGCAAATAAAAAAAATAAACTTGCTTGGAAATTTTTTTATCTCTATTTTAAACAAGTGACCATTTTGATATAGTCAAAGTCGGATAATTTTCATTGTTCCATTTAAAACAAACAGTTTCTTATTATTTTTCTGATAACATCTGGCAATAAATCAAGTATGACATTTCTGCAGAAGTTGAAGTAAATACAACAAGTGACTATATGCAATTTAGTCAGATATGATATCAGCGCCATTGACTGTGTTAAAATTTAGGTTGTGATTTAAAAATTGTTGTTTCGGGATATGTTATAACAAAAGATAAAAAAATAGGAATTTCAGTGAAAAAATAGGGCATTTTTAGGAATTCCCTTTGAATTTTTCATTTTTTTAGGAATTTTAGCCAAACTGAAAAAAAAATAGGATTTTTTAGGAATTTTAGGGACGCTGGACAGCCTGGTATGGGTTACTTCTTTAATTTGTCAACAAATAAAACAGTTACATATACATTTTCATACAGCAAAGCACTAAACATAAAAGCTAGGGCCTCAATCCATTTAAATTTGTATCACTAAATACATCAAGTAAACCACACCTTTTATCACATAACATGAAAAAACTCAGTCATAAACTCCATTCACTATGTACTGTTAGAATGCTGCTAAAATTACCGCTAAATATGAGGTAATCAAGTTGACAGGGGCTAATTTCATAATTTGTCCATACATATAGCTTTATTCTGTTCTGTGACTGATTGAATTTACAAACCATTATCACTCTTAAAAAAAGATTTTATCTTGATTATGTTGTCATAATATTTTCAAGTTGTAAATACTGGTAATCTAGGATAATATGCCACTCTGTAAATTTAAGAAACAATTTCCTTGTAGTAGCCTATAAATTATGGCACCTAAATAATCTGGAGGCAAATTTTTAACAAGATTATGTTAATTGAATACACTTAGTAATTATTCCAACTTCCCTACATTAAACTTTTCAAAACTTTTCAATAAAAATTATGAACAGCATATCAAGAAATTTTGATAAAAATTTGGAGTTTTAAAGAGCAGACAACTTTCGTAATAATATTTCAGTCTTACAATCATCATGATGAGCACATAGTTCCAAAATTCACATGGATACCTTTTAAAGTGTTTGAGTAATAAATGTACTTAACTAGATAAATCTTAAATGCCACCTTTATAGAGCACAATTATTCTGCAATCTGACCTTGCTCAATTCCATAATGGTAGCTCAATTTCTGTACTTTGATATCCAAAACCCTTTGACTTGAAATTGACTGTAGGTCAAATTCATTGCACAAATTCCAATGCCATGCAAGTACACTACCAAAATATCATGTGTAATGGACCTTTCGTTTTCAAAAGATACCTTACAAGTAATTACCTTAAGCTTATAACCAAACTTGAGTTTTTGTTACCATTACTTTTAGTTTGTAATATAACTATCATTACAGATTGAAGGCTTTTTGGGTTTGGGCGTGTGTGCATTTTTTGTGAACATAACCTTAATATTTGTGACTACAGTGTTTATCTATATATATGTAATATAACACCCATAACATCATACTATAAAGTATCAATTTACTTAACCCTATCATATATTTTTATGATTTAACAACAGACATTTATATCCTGTTCATAAAAAATGCACTAAAATGCACAGCATTTTTATGTACAAAAGATTCAGATCTTACAATATAAAATATATGAAAGAAATTCATTTTTTATATTTTTCAGACATCTTGTTAAAAATGTAATATAATTCACAAAATTTTACACAAATTACTTTTCAACAATTACTCTGTGACGTCATCATCTGATGTTGTCAATAATATAAAACCATGACATTACACACCAAAAATCACATAAAACCACTTAAAAAGCATGAAATAAATAGAAAATTTGTTTGTGATGCAATTCCACTCTTAAAAATATTGCATCTGGTACATTTGATGTTACATGCAAAACTCTTATATATTATTACGAATATAATCTAATATACATTTTCATACAAAGAAAAATAGAAATTAAGCTCCAGTTAATGTAATTTTTAAAAGGTCACTTATAAAACATTTGTCATTGACTTTTCCTGAAAAAGATTTCTTTATTTCTTTCATTGAGGTATTTCAATATCATATACATTCCAGCAGGGAAGACTGGGCTTGCCCAACTGTGTTGTCTCATTAAATAAAGTCATTACTTACTTACTTACTTACATACAAACTGTAGTGTTAAGTAATGAATGAGGTTGGTGGCGGAAACTGTTATTTTTCGACTTAGCTGTCCCAACAGACATCTTGAAAAATTTCTCTAAGCACTCCGACAGTGGCCCAGGCCATCACTCTTCTAATGTGATACTAAATTACACCTTGTAAATAATGAATGAGATCTGCTGACTAAACCAGGGGATAATGCCTGTGTAATAGTGCCATTTAACACCAAAAAAAATCTCCCTTTTTTTAAATGTTCAAAGTTCACAGAATCAAAAGATTTATCTGAAAAATATTGATAGAGAGAGAGAGAAAGGGTAAAATTTATATGACATAATTATTATAAGACTGAATTTATTTTGCAATTAAATATTCATGAACTAAATGTACTTGCTTATAAGAATTTAAGAATTTGCAGATGTCTTGAATGTTTTATTAACGTTATACATTTAAGAGATGTGTATATCTGACATTTTAGGAAGCTTTAAATAAAGCAAGGGTACAGAGATATTCAGGTTATAATAGTGAGTATAGTATTATTGGACAGGTTTTTTATTATTATTGGGTTTTATGTTGCACCAACACAGTATAAGTCATGCTTCACTGGAGGAGAAAGATCTCAGGTGCCCCTCTGGGCTTAAACCCTAACCCTCTGTGTGTTATTGAAGGCACAAACCAGCACCTGAGTAGAACCACCGACGTTCCTTTTAGCTTGCTGGATAGTTATCTCACATGAAAGTATCTGAAGACGTTTGTAAGGTTCAAACCTAAAACGGTGAGATGCAAGTGGTTTGAAATCAACAACTCAAACCACTCGTCCACGGATGCCCTTGTAATGGCATCTCATTGACAGTATAGCAACAATTGCAAAATCTAGTTTTCAGCTTGTTATATATTATATATTCAATTTATAATCACTGTTGTTTTTAATTCTTAATGTCAAAAATATTATAATTGTTATTGTATAGAGATATGTAATGGACAGAGTAAGTTCAATCACAAATATATATATATATATATATATATATAAAAAATATTTCAGTATTTTGGAAACATAATTTGTTTTATGTGTCAGTATTATACACTTAAATCTTAATGTTACAAATAAATATGTGTTTCACTATTCCTTTTGTGTATTAATTTAATTGCATTTGCATTAATTTTGTTTTGTTGATAATATCTTCATAAATATCTAATATTAAAAATTCGCAAGAAATATTCTTAAATTTATCAAATAATATTAATTTTTTATAGAATTTGAAAGAACATTTATTTAATTCTTCATATGTCTGAAATATTTATGACTCCATATACAAAATGTAAATGTATTTACCAAAACTGGTTTGTTAAAGTTATTGCCCAATAAAATATTAAAGTAATTCTTGTCTTTTAAGTGATCAATATTATTTTTGTTTAATGTTTCTCCACTTTATACTCTTAATGTGTTTAACCTTTTAGTAAAAAATAACAACAACAAAACAAGATTTTGTCTACGTGATCAAAATTCGAATCATAAAACAACTTGTTCATAATAATAATCAATTACAAAAAATTTTCTGAACATAATTTAAAAACATCACAATAGTCATCTTTGTTAAGTGTCCTACCTTCAACAGAAAACCACCCACCCGTAAACCTAACTTACCTACCTTATACGCTTTATGAAGTGAAACAGCCTATCAAAATGATAATAATACATACGTAGATAATTGCCAATGTAATTATGTTCCACATGACTTCATACACACTTTATTTCCTCTCATTTTTTACATCAAATTTCGCATTTCATAAGTTTGAGACACCAAGGCACTATCATATCAAAAATTTAAATAATTCTTCAATTTATCTAACACAAACAATACAAACAATAATTAAAGTTGATCTGAATAGTTAAAAACATACGGAACCATGGGACGCAGTCAAAATAAATCATCTTCTTTCGGATTTTCAAGATTTCATTTTCGAGTTTACAGAAAGTTTTATATATCTAGTGTTGCCCCAGTGGTAGTAGGGGTTTGTCTTGGAATTACTATTCATATGCTGATAATGGAAATGGGATGTAATAGCAAGGATAACGGACTTACTGCTGAGGAAATCACGCAAAGGTCTTTAAACATAAAGACTGTTAAAAAAATCCGTAAAAGAAGTGTTGATGCCACTATTCCTGAAGATGAAAATTTAGATTTTGTGGCAAGAATTATCAATTTATCTACACTAAATATATCTGTAAATTTAAATGTGACAAGAAAAAAGTTCTATAGACCTCATACTATTAAAGATGAATTACATTGGAAAGAGAAGTTATTTGTAGCAGTTTTAACAAGTCCAAGTACTATAGAAAAACTTGGTGTAGCTTTTGAGAAAACAACCGCTAGACATTTCCCTGAAGTCATATTCTTCAGCAGTGGAAAAATAAAATCTGAACTAAAAGGACTGAAAATTGTTGCGTTTGAGGATACCAACCCTGAAATGTTGCCAATACTTGTTCTAACATATATAAAGAAAAACTTACCAGAAGCCTACGACTTTTATCTTTTTGTAACAGATAGAACATATCTGCGTGCACAAAAATATCATGACTTTCTGAAATATATGAGTATTACAGAAGATGTCTACTCTGGTAACCTTGCTCAGGATGGAGATTTCTGTACTTTACACAGCGGTATTCTTATATCATACTCTATCATATCCAAGGTGTTATCAGAGTTAACTTGGTGTTCAGTCAACAATAAACAAGGAAATCCAGGAAAAAGATTTGCACAGTGTATACATCATGCCTCTAACAAATTCTGCACACCTTGGAAAAATGGACACAAAATGAAAGCTTTCAAATTAGATAATTTTGACTTTGATTTAGATATCTTGCATTTAAAATCAGATCATTCTTTCAATCAGTCATTAACATTTTATCCAATGCTGGACGATGTTTCATTTTATAAAATACACAGATATTTTTGTACAAAAGATTTAACTGAAGTTCAAAGTCAGATTGATGCCGCTAAAGCAAACATTATTGACCTCAGTCAACATTCACCAGGAGGTCGGGACAGTTTATCCTGGCCTCTAGGGACCAAACCATCCACACAAGTAGACAACAGATTCTCTATAATTCCATGGGTGTACTTCACAGAAAAAGACATGTTCCTTGATGATGAAGTCACGAATGTTAAGGATTTATCAGGGGCTGACATACCAGACATACTTGACATCAAGAGAGAAATAGCTGAAAACTTGAACAAGAAATATCCTTCAAGGTTTACGCTCGAGACAATTGTAAATGGTTATCGTAGGTTTGATCCTAATCGTGGAATGGAATACACAATTGACATACTTCTTTTAGATAAAACAAAGAACAATGGTAAGGTATTTAAACGTGTTCATTTAGTACGACCAATTGGGAATGTTGAACTTGTTCCAACCCCATTTGTAACTGAGAATATACCACTCCATATTATACTACCATTACAACCAACAAATGTAGATTCTCTAGAGAAGTTTTTGGTTTCTTATGCCCACTCTTGTTTAGTAACAAAACAAGATGTTTACTTAATTGTGGCATTGTTATATCCAGCAGCAAAAGCCACCAAGGACCCATTTGAGAAGGCAAAGAAAGTTATTGATGATACGAATAAAAAGTATAATTCTAAAGAAAAATTGTACTGGAAAGCACTGGAAAATGCAGTAACTGATATCAACATTATGGACAAGTTACAGACAGAGTTTAAAAGCGATGTGTTAATTTTACTGACAACTGTAAACAGTGAGATGTCTCCGAATTTTACAAGTCAATATCTAAACAGAGTACGTATGAATACAGTTAAAGAGAATCAAGTTTACTTTCCAATGGGCTTTTGGCAATATCGACCAAATCTTTTGTATGATAAAAAACCATTCCCAGCTTCTGTGGAAATAGGCCAGAAACTTGGTATATACAACAAGAAAGCTACAGATAATGCGGGATTCTATCTGTCTGACTATAAAACAGCTAGAAATGCCATGAAATCTATACCATCTGATATATTCACTATGTTTATAACTTACAAAAAATTTCATGTGTTTCAAGCAGTTGAGCCCAATCTAAAATTTAAATGGATGTATATAACATGTGATTCGCGGATGCAGAAAATGCAATTTGAGGAATGTAAGATCCGAAACCTGGACGGACTTGGAAGTCAACATCACCTAGCTAAACTCATATACGAGTATCGAAACGGAAATTTATCCAAGCCCGATAGTGGTAAACCTACTCCAAAACCAAAAGCACAAAATGCAAATACACCAAAACAAAACAAATCACAAACTTCAAAACCAGGTGCTAAAAAACCAGTTACTCCAAAACCAAAACAAACACCAGCAGCCAATTTGCACCAGCCTTTTGCACCATTTATGGTCAATCCTAGACGAGTACCAGCTCCTAAATACAAACTTAAAGATCCTGAATTAAAACTACATCATGTTAATTTTGATATGTCAGAGGATGACCCACTTGGAGAGGACATGCTGCTTGTAGACCCTAAAAAACCAATCAGAGTGTAAAAAATCTGTCTTCATCTTTTTACCACAGCTGGATCTTTATTATTGAAAGATGTTTCTTGTTTTGAAATTTGATCATTGATCTAATAAGGAGCAAACAATGGTGGAGGAATTATAGTTCAAATGACAGGCTACATGATTTGTTGCATTGGAATCAAATTGAAAATATGTACAAAATATTATTGGTGATTGTAATTAATAGGGATTGCACCTGCGTTTCGAGCTTACAGACATATAGCTAAGTAATTAAAACACTCTGCTTTGTACCCAGTTAATATATATGCACTCATTTAAATAGGTTTATCAAAAAATTTACAATGTAACTTCTGAAAAACGAACACCTGTGGGACTAGGCAAAAAGTGCGGAATATGAAAGTTTCCGGAATTCACAAGTTTGAAATTATCTGAACAAGTTATTGCCATTTGAATTTCATACATATAAAAACTTGTTTTTGCTGTGATAATTTTAATGTTGGTACCTTAAATTTACCCTTACTATATGCTTAAATGAACTTGTTTGTTTTTCAATCTGGACTAAACCAGAGTCATCATTTTGGGGGAAATTATTAAAAAAATTGACTGACTGAAAAGGAAACAGTGCAGACTATATGATCAGACCGCTGAAAACTTGTTATAGCTATCAAACAAATTTATCAGATGTTCATACATGACTTAAACTGATTAATTCACATTTATAACTTTATCAAAATCAAAATCAGACATGTCACTTATATGATACTTATTTCTATCCAGTCTTTTTGTATTATAGTATGAACAACATATTATAAGTACCATGTGGCACATTTATTACTGTTAAAATTTTTAGTGTGTTTTTAAATAATACATAAAAATAAACTGACATGTGTTTTATTGGAAAATTTTATTGTTGAGTTAACATTGTAGACAGTATAGTTATATATTATAGATAAATAGTTAAGGTAAAATTTTACGAGTATATACTTTATACATAAATGAAATATTGAGAAATATTGATGACATAAAATGCATCAATTCATTTTCCGTATTTTCACTAGTGTCTTGCCACTGACTACTTTTTTCTAAATTCTGCCAATACACAAAAGTTTTGGGGAAGTCTTTCAAATTGTAATGTCCAAAAATAGAAAAAAACATATATAATAAACAGAAAATTCAAGTTTTTTCTATAAATACAGGATTGGTATGAAAATTATTATATTTCACTTTCGACTACCACTTTTCATAAAATATCAGCCTCATATGACCAAAGTTGTTCAAATTTTGCCTCTAGTGTCAAAATTAGCCCTGGGGGTTATACAGGTTTTCCTTATATGTCTATAGTAAAAACTTTAAAAAAAATCATCTTCTCGAAATTGAAAAATGCTAGAGGTTAGATATTTTGCATGAAACATTGTGTAGTGAACCTCAGTACCAAGATTGTTCAAATTATAGCCCTGGGGTCATAATTGGCCCCGCCAGGGTGGGGGGGGGGATGTCACTGATTTTCACTATGTATATATAGTAAAAAATTAGAAAATCTTCTTGTCTGAAGGTGACAAGGCTTAGAGCTTTGATATTTTGTATATAAATTATAATATCATAATTATGACAATAATTGACAGAAATACTATTTAACTTTTTGAAAAAAAAAAATACTGCTGAAAGGGCAGAGAGATTATTATTGTCATTATTTTATTAACCTGTCATTTTTGTATAATACAGTCAATGCAAATTAATATATTAATCTTCAATAAATTTATTTTCGTAAAGTCCATGAGATGATGTTGAATTTTTTCTATAAGATAATCATAATTATTGTTATAGCTGGGTAAGCGACGGTTTTGTACTATTTTTATGTCCTACATATTGTAAGGTATACATGGGTTGTTTTTTTCCATATTTTTATTTTCAACATTATTGTTTTAAAGTTGTTGTTTTTGTTTTAATATGTTTTGCACATATTTTGGCAAAGTCTTTCCTCTTTTTTAACAACATCAATAAAAAATAAATATTTAAAATCCAATTGTCTTTTCAAGTTTTGATTTAAAAATGTCATTTAAAATCTGAATTATACAATACAAAACAAAACAAAGTTGTTTGAGTTGCTCCACACCCATTTGTACACGTTTTAAAGAAATCAACCATTTCCATTGAAAAAAAATTAAAAAAGATAAAAACAACAAATACCAGAAGTAGTGTTCGAACCATTGACTTTTCTTATATTATAGGCAACCACTTAACCAATTGTGCTACTGCAGATGTGATGGCTGTATGCTTTATTTAGCTAGTCTGACTTAAGTCTAAAATATTAAGTCTTGTGAATTTCAGGGACAGAACCGAACTGGGATCTAATATTTAATGAGTGCTTATAATGTATTAATTATTGACAGTTCAATAAAATCAAACTATACAGTAGATATAAGTTTAAAGTTGAAAGTATGCTTGAGTACAAATTACACAATTTCGTAAGTAAATAAATTGTTATTGTTAAATTAAGATGCTTCATTTTCTGTTTTTATTGCTGTCAACACATTTATGACAGTTTCACAATATTTCAGTATTATTCAAAGGTGTTAATATTTTCTTTATTGGCTTTTAACATCCAATAAAATGTATTTTGATACATCAAAGAATTTCAGAAGTTGACATTATATTTTATTGAAATATAATTGGGTGTGACATTTTATGAGTAAAATGCCAAAGTATTCAATTTCACAAGTTGATACTTCAAGTTTAATTGTTTTAAACTTCATGACTTATCATTATTGTTTGCGCATGCGTTGTAATGGCGGTGTAATTTTTTCTTCTCAGTAAATCGGATAATAAAAAATTAATTTAACAGTCAAAACGGATATCTTTTAATTAACAATTTGAACTAGTGGTGGATTACAATGTGTGAAATAAGTTGGTGCTATTTAGTTTTTGTCTGATGGGCAGAAAACGCAAAGACATCACTCCGAACGAAACGGACACTGGCGGTAAGAGACAAACAAAGAACAAGATGGCGACAAACAACCCTAAACAGCACATCGATTTACCCGTGCAGCCGGGACAAACTTCGCCAAGCAATCATGGTAATCAGTCATACTCTTTACCCCCAATATACCCGTATACGCCATCATACATGAATTTGAACTCTGGTTCGCCTGTGCATTTACAGCAAAACATTCCATATACACAAACAAGTCAACATAATGACATTCTTCAATGTATTCTGGAAAGGCTTGACAAAGTTGATCAAAAGTTAAACCAGTTAAATAGCATTCAAAGTTCAATAACGGACCTTACATCACGACTGAATAGCATGGAGTCGAAAATTAACGGTATTGAAAAAAGCCAAAAATTCATGAGTGACCAATACGACACACTTTCTGTCTGCACAAATGTTAATAAGAAGAATATTGAACATTTACAGTGTGAAGTTAAATCTCTGAAAAAACAAAATTCTGACATAAACAATGAAAATAGTAGCTTGAAGGAGTCAGTTATAGATCTTAAATGTCGCTCCATGCGTGACAATCTCTTGTTTTTTGGCATTCCGGAGGGCAGCTCGCAGATAAAAGCATTATCGTCTACTGGTGTGATTAACGAGTCCAATATCGAAGATCCTCGCCGGGACAGTAACATCGAATATCCCAAAACACATCAAGGGCCGCAAAAACCTGCATGGATGGGTCGAGGCAATTCAAGTGCTTATGACGCAGGCACTACCGATGCGTCGATGACGTCACACTTGACCAGTTCGGCAGTATCCAGTACTGAGAATTGTGTGTATAAGATTTTTGATTTCTGCGAAAAAGTATTACATATATCAGGAGCAAGTAGCAGAATTGAAATTGATAGGGCCCGTAGAATTGGCAGCTTTGTCAAAGGGAAAATTCGACCTGTGGTTGCCAAATTTCAAAATACAGATTCAAAAATGCTTGTAAAAAATGCCTTGAAAAACATTAATTTAAAACAAAGTGATTATAACGTGTCAGAACAGTTTCCCCCAGAGGTCAAAGAAAGAAAAAAACAGTTCATTCCGGAACTTACTAAAGCGAGAAATCAAGGTAGAAAAGCGGTATTGGTGCGAGATAAACTATTTATCGATAACCAGTTATTTAACCCCGACAGTTATGCACGGAACGTGTCTAGTGACTAGGATTTACGAGAAAAGTATGACCTCTCCATTATTTCATGGAACGTTGAGGGCCTTAAAATTGTATTAAGGACGATGATTTTCTTAATTTTATTGTTAACGTTGACATTATTTTCCTTTGCAAAACTTAAAAAAAGATAATGAGATGAACCAAATAGATGAATTTGAATGTGTTACAGTACCAATATTGAAAGTTTGAAGTCCAAAAGGGGTCATAAGGTAAATTTGTTTCTTTTTACCGAAAACAATTTAAAGAGGCTATCTCAGTTATGGAAACAGATACTAGTGGAGTTACATGGATAAAACTAAGTAAAAGGTTCTTTAAATTACAAACTGATATTTATTTATGCTGCTTGTACATACCACCTAGTAATTCCATATATTATACTTTACATGAAGAGGGGTTTTTTGAAGTCTTAGAAAAAGGTATTCGTAAATACTCTCAAATAGGTCAATTAGCCGTAATGGGTGATTTAAACTCTAGATGTGGTAGTAAATTAGACTACGTTCAAAATAGTTCATATTTTGAGAAATTTATTTCAACTATTGAACACAGTGATGATTGTGATAATAATCCTAACATTCCCCATAGATTTTCTATGGATACAGTTATCAATACACACGGGAACAGATTATTAGAATTATGTCAAAGTAGCAATATATGTATTATAAATGGTAGGGTCGGTGACGATGCCGGTATTGGTAGTTACACGAACCTTTCACCGAACGGCAATAGCCTGATTGATTATGCATTATGCTCGCACGAGTTGTTCCCCCTTGTTTCAAACTTTATAGTTCACGATTTATACTCTATATCGACACATTGTCCTATTGAAATAGATATAACTGTAAATCCTTGTACAAATTTATGTTCTTGTAATAATAGTTGTTTTTATGATAAAATCGTATGGGATGAAAATAAAACTGATGGTTATAGATCTGCTATTTTATCAGAATTATGTAATATAGATAATATTGTAAGCAATATTGTATCGCAGGAAATCGGTGTTAATGATGGTGTATTTCAAATATCAAATATTCTTTACGACAAAGCATTTAATATTTTTGGTAAGAAGTGTTCAATTGAAAAAAATAAGAAACATGAAAATAAAAGAAAATATAAAAG